AGAGAGAGAGAGAGAGAGAGAGAGAGAGAGAGAGAGAGAGAGAGAGAAAAGAGAGAGGGGGGGGAGGGAGGGAGGGAGAGAAATTGGGACTGCTCCAGTGACTTCCTTAAACTAGAGGAAGTGATGTTTCACTAATTCATCAATAAAAACTGATTCAGGTTTTTAATGAGCCAAGTATAATCCCATAGGTACTTGGAACATACTAGTGAATAAAATGAAAACCATAAATGAATTTGAAGCTCTTTTTTCAAAGAGCTTGTGCTCTTGTGGTGTGGTGAGGAAAGACAATGTCAGCCACAAACATGTTAGTAATAAAACATGTTATGGATGAGCAGGGGGTTACAAAATATGTTTCAAGCAAATGAACAACTATACGCAGACAGAAAGGTAGAAGACCCAAAGATGGCTGACAGGAAGACAAGTGAAAGCAGAGACAGGAGATGGAAGGTTGGGACTCAAGTGGGTGAAGGATAAGCACTGATGGGGTCTAAGAATCATTTGATATGGGTAGGATCGATATAACAAGGGAAGAGTTATGAGAAATGAAGCTGAAGAGACAAACACATGCATGGCAAAGAAGGACTTTCAATCAGCATTGAGAAATTCTTACTGTATCCTGAAGACAAGAAGAATCCCCTGAAGATACTGCAGCATGCATATTAAAGCCATTCCATGAATAGCACCCTATCATTAAAAAGCTGACTCTGCTGACTTCTGCTTTTGAAGAAAGATAATTGATATATTTCCCACCAAGAATAAATAAAAATCCTAGACCTTCTATTTAAAAGTGAGTACATGGTCTACGAATGAGAAAGCCAGAAGACAATGGGATGTGGTGAGACAAGCTGGAGCACTGGGACCTGAGCAATAAAGACAGTGAGCTCCCAGGCTTTCTTTTCACGTATCCCAGAATTGGGCCTTAAGATGGCAATCCAGAGAAGCCAACAAGTATAAGGAAGTACAGCCCTCACCCCAAATCACGGTCTTTCTAGCCAAAGGACCAAAAAAGGGCTGTTTGGTACCCTATCAGCTAGGGAGGAGAAGACAGCACTCTTAGGCAGCATCAGAGAAAAGGGCCTGTGGACAAAATGCAAGGCTATTTTCAAATGTTTCAGTGAGAACAGAAGCTGGGTCTAAAAGGAAGAATAACATTAAAACCACAAGAGTCTGGAGCACTAAAGAAAATTTGTTAGAAGGTGTGCAGCCTGGTATGAGATAGCCAAGCAGACCTGATAAATGACATACAGGCTTGAAGAAACAAGGCCAATGATAGCAGGACAGCTACCTAGTGTCCAGGAGACCTTTCTCCTTTGAGAAAAACATGCAAGACACCATTTGTTATTATATATTCTTGCTTTTAATACATTGTATCTAACATAACTTACAATAGACTAGTAAGAAAGAATAGTATCTAAAGTGTTTGGCCTATTTTAGGAAAGAGATTTGTGACTGTTTGTATATGCTTGGTCCTATTAGGAGGTGTGGCCTTGTTGGAGTAGTGTGTCACTGTGGATGTGGGCTTAAGACCCTCACCCTAGCTGCCTGGAAGTCTATCTTCCACTAGGAGCCTTCAGATGAAGATGTAGACCTCTCAGCTATTCCTGTACCATGCTTGCCTGGATGCTGCTATGTTCCTGCCTTGATAATGGACTGAACCTCTGAACCTGTAAGCCAGCCCCAATTAAATGTTGTCATTTTTAAGACTTGTCTTGGTCATGGTGTCTCTTCACAGCAATAAAACTCTGAGACAAGACCCCAGACTATCCACCCCATGGATAAAAAGCTAACCAAGAACATTCTAGCTACTTTTTAGTGGCTCTAACAAAGAAAGCTTGATATAATGAACAGCTAGCAAGACACCTACAAGGTCAAAAGGTAGTAATGGTGGCCTATAACTTAATAGCTAGCAATGAGTCAATGTTTATAACTAAGCCAGAATAAGAGATGGATAGAGGCAGGCTTCAGCTAATCCTGTGTGGGGGCAGGCATCAACAGAACATGATCATCTCCCTGGTTGGTTCAGGGAAGACATGAACAGAGCATGCAGGCCTCCTATTGGTTTAACCTTTGATGGTTCCAGGTAATTAACCAATCCCCAAAGAAATCACATCAGTCTCTGTCCAGTTTTTGCTACTGCCCTATAAAAAATCCCGGACAAAGGAAATTCAACCACTTTTTCTATCCTTAGATATTTTTCTCAACTCCTGAAAATTGATCTCATCTCCTTCACTTTCTTGCTTTTCTGGATAATGCTTACTAAAGACAGTCTCCATACTGTCTATGCCCAAGAAGGGCATAATTACCTTTTAAGCTCCATTGATGTGAAACAACAAACTTTGGAGCCACTGCCCAAGGTTGGTCTTTGATGGCCCTAAGTGTCTGATATCTTAGGTCTTTGTATCATGTTAAGTGGGCCAGGAAATCCTGTATCACTAACAACAGAAAACAAATACTCTTAGAAAACTACTATTATATTTGACTGAAGCATCACAAAAACCCACATGACATGATGGTCCACATGTTTAATCCCAGCACTCAAGAGGCATAGGCAGGCAGAGCTCTACAGTCCATGCTGACCCCTGTCAACCATGGGAGCTGAATCTGAATTTTCAACCTGAGGCTATAATGAGAAGCCAAAGCATCATTAAAGACAAGGGTAGTATTTTAAAAACAGACAAATGACAACAACACATTAGAAACTGGAAAGGATAAAGAGATTCCCAGAGTGTAAGAACAAATTAGAAATTGACTTCCGTTCCATCTGGCAATGACGAAATATCCGTGGGCCTATGAACACAATAATGACCAGCATGCAAGACATCTCTAAGGGTGGAATGATGTCACTCAAATCTTGGCAGCAGCCAATAGCTGTCTGATTAGAGGTAAAGCCTGCTCAACAGGTGGGAAATCATGCCTGCCTCAACTATCAGTAACATAAACAGACAGAAAACTAACAAGACTATAGAGAAACCTCAAAAACATTCTCCACCAGTAGAATCTAATCAATATTTACAAAACAAATAATCTAGAATAGCAGGAATACACATTCATCACAAGTGTCCAGGGAACATAGGTTAAGACAACTCTAATAGAACAAAAATCATAAGGGTGTATTAAAAATTGATTAGAGAAATATAGAAGTTAATTCTTCAAACACTCAAAAAGCACTTCTCAATTCATGTCAAAGTTAAAAAAATAAAATAAAACATTTGAGCAAAAATGAAAATACAACATACTGAAATTTTGCAGGGCACAGTAAAATCAGTACTGAAAGAGAAATTTATAGTCCTCAATTCATGATGAGATACTTGTCTGTATGTATCTGTATGTATTCTCTTGTCTGAAGCCATCCGCTTCTTTAAACCTATCTACCTCCCACTCATACACACAATTTTCCAGGAAAATTCTATCACTAAAGTAAGTCTGCTAGTCATCTCTGTTGTCTCTAGGTTGGTCGTGTGCCTTCTATGTATTCTCTATGTATTGCCTACGTCTACTTTCACCAAAGCTCCTTCTTCTGTAAGGCAACGGTGACTTACATGTTTATTTCCCAGGTCAAACTATGAAACTAGAACTAATTTTTATTTGCCATTTCTCAGTGTCATATAACTCATGAACCATAACATCAACAAAACTCATTAAACAGTAATACATGAATACAACCATTTGAAATTAATTAAAATAATTAATTAAATTAATGATGAACCTCAGAGAGTTACCTGCTACTTGTTTCCTTAGTTTTTCAATCTCTTCTTTCAGACTTTTAATTTCTAAATCTTTGCTTGCTGTTAGTGGACCATCAACAGTTGAATACTGTAGAGCTTGAACAGTCTGTGTTGACTCTGAAAATAAAACAAGAATTAAAGAATGAAAATCAGAGACTTGATCTAACCTTAGTAAGTAGTATCTATCTAAAAAAATTATCCATTTTGTTTAGATTTTCCAATTTTGTGGAGTACAGGCTTTTGATTCTTTGAATTTCCTCATTGTCTGTTGTTATGTCTCCCTTTTTATTTCTGATTTTGTTTATTTGGATACTGTCTCTGTCTTTTAGTTAATTTGGCTAAGGGTTTGTCTATCTTGTGGATTTCCTCAAAGAACTAGCTCTTGGTTTTGTTGATTCTTTGTGTTGTTTTCTTTGTTTCTAATTGACTGATTCAGCCCTAATTTTGATTATTTCCTGCTGTCTCATCTTCTTGGGTGCATTTTCTTCTTTTTTTTTTTCCTTTTAGAGTTTTACTTTTTAAATTGCTGGTATGTGAACTCTTACTTTCTTTATGGAAGCATTTAGTGCTACAAACTTTTCTCTTAGCGCTGCTTTCATTGTGTTCCCAAAGTTTTCACTTGTAATAAAATGGAACAGGAACGGCTATTGCTCCTTTTGTAAAAATAAAAATATACTACTAAATATTTTTGAAATATAAAACTAAGACCTTAAAAAATCTTGTTAGTACAACCATTATGGTACAGTGAAAGCAAAGACCAAGTGAAATGAACCACAGAGGCACTGTGAGATGAAAGGCTGTCTCAGTGGTCTAACCAAGAACTTTGTCCAGGTTGAAGCCTGACCTAAATTGAGGAATATTTTTAACATTTGTTTGTTTTTTGGGGGGCTGTTAAACATGTGGGTGTACATGTCATGGCACTCATGTAGAGGATGTGTGTGGGTGTCATACATGTGGGTACACATGCCATGACACTCATGTAGAGGATGTGTGTGGGTGTTAAACATGTGGGTGCACATGCCATGACACTCATGTAGA